TATTTTGAGATCTTGTGATATTTAACGAAGTTGTACATAGTAGAAGTCCCTAGATTTCACACATTTTGTGAAAAAGAGCACCCCGTTTTGGTATTCAAAATAGTTAAAGAAAACGATTTCCACTTCGTGACAACAAAAGTGGAAAGGATTTGTTTCCATGCTCTTTCGTTCGTTGAAATTGCTGTGTACTTACTTTGTACAGTACTTATTTTTTGAAAAAGTGAAAAAACAGATATAAACTGCAAAAAATTCGAATTTTTCTCGTTAAATCGAGTAATAGTCTACACACTATATTAAGAAAATATGAAGTGTCCTGTACATAACGGACACTGACTTCTTTTGCATATCTCATGTAAAATGAGAATAACAAAAACACACACGTGTACACATAGTATACTATTTATGTTATAAACAGAATGTGGACTATCTATTTGTATATACGAAAATATAAATTTTCACTTTGAAATAAGAGAAAAAGAATTCTTTTGCGTTCTTACAATTCAATTGCGAGATCGCGCCGCGACAATACGACTTTATAGGATCTCTCCGCGACAACGCGACTTTATAGCGATCTCTCCGCGACAAGCGCGAGATAATAGCGATCGCTAGCGCGCTGCGAGTTAGTCGCGACCGTTGACCTGGGAAGTTCAAATTTGAACTTACGAAATTTTCTCATGAACTTGAACTTGAACATTAAATAGTGTAAATATTATCCAACTTCAACGTTTTAAAGACAACGATCTTTGATAAAATTGTATAATACTTACTAGTGACTTTAATGATATAAGCATCTTAAACGGTTATTCTCAAACAATAATGATTGTTCTAACAATAAAGTTTAAAAATGGCCTTTTAAGATACTTAGATCATTAAAATCATTAGTAATTATTGTACAATTTTATCAACCATCTGACTTGAACTTGAGAATTATTCAAGAGAAGTTTATTCTAAGTTTTTGAAGCTTTTACTGTTTATGGTACGACATTGGAACATACTTAGAAAGTTGAAAGAGAGAGAAGAAAAGAATGAACTGAAATGTAGAAGTTCGGAAAAAAAATGTACGCTGGGAAACATCATAGACTTCAAACAGAAAAATCGGAAACTCAAGCGGACTGGGTAAGAGCTAGAAACAAATCGAAATTGTATGAATTCTGATGTGGACTCACACTTGTTCGTCTGTACCAATTAGAGATATTGAGAACACCCTAGTACTCTTCTACTCTACGGCGTACGGCAAGACTAGGGCTGAACAAAAGTTTTCATTATGCATGTTTAGTTCAAATAAAACATTTGTTCAGAGCTGTGAAAAAAGGTTTACACGGTATGGTAGGTTAGACCTATGGTTTGAAAGTCATAGGATAGGTTACGGTTAGAAATTAGAAAATTCTTACCCGGTACATTTCTCGTGTCTATGTCTCACGTAATCCAAACGGTATAATGTGTTTTGAATTATTAGTTACTAAAATTTTCACATATTCATACAACTCTCTTTCGTTTAGCTAAGTAGCTGGTATCAAAAAAACAATATGTCTGACGGTGCCTCAAATTTTTCGGTAACAACAAACTCAACGTGAGTCTATTCTATTAAGTTACGGTTCGGTTCGGTCTTCTAATATTTTAAATTTTGTAAAACATAGATGTTCAGGGAACGAGGGTGTATTCTCACAAATAGTTTCATTCTTCAATACCAGCAATATTTCCATTTATTTGCGAGCAGGTAATACAGTGTTTTCAATCAAATACAGTGATTTTAACTTTTATCTTTCATTTTAAAGCTGCACAATACTATGACTATTTGAGTTCTACTAATTTTACATTACAAGGAATATTTATAAATAAAGAAAGGATTTTCTTACAAACTCCGATTGTTAATAGTAAGTGGGTGAGTGTCGTATAAAGTTCATTTTGATTATTATGAACAACGTTTTCATTAAAAATCTAGCATGACAATTGATTATGCATGTTGAACATTTTATCTTGACTTAATATTTGTTGAGATATTCATCTTGATATCAATTATCATATAGTGCACATCATGATGTATAATTTTCTATATTTTACTTTTGTTTGAGATACAATCACATACGCATGTTCTATATCAACACCGACTATATGTTCCAATAAGACAACATGTGTGAATCAATCTAATCCATTTGAATTCCAGTGCAGGTGTGTGTAAGCTCTAAAATTAAAATATCGTCCTGAACACATAACGGTCATTCTGCTATTTTACTTCATGAAAAATCACCGAAATTAAACTTCGAGTTTTGTTTAAAACTGCTAATAGTATAGTGAAGATTTCTCTACGAAATGAGGTGTTTCTCAATTACAGACGGTACCTTCGACGAATATTTTAAAAATACCTATAAAATGCAAATTGATGAATATCTGATAAATAATAATAAAAAAAACAGAAAAATTTGAAATTCATGTGCACTTGTGGAGAAATGCTTGTTGGACAACGCAAAATATTTGCTGAAAGTTCTGTTGTTTTAATAAAATAATACGTTTTTTTGAAAATCATCGTAAGAACATGAGGAAATAACGGTTGTGATCTACTTTTTGTGATTTTATTACAGTCAGTATTTTGATTATAAAGTTCGATAAACAAAACCGATTGAACCCTAGTTTTTAGAAATGCTTCGACACATGATATTACATTTACATTTTACTTTACATTTTTTTTTCCACTTCTACATTTCTGATGCAAATTTTAGTCGTCTATCTTTCATATTATTGGAGAAAAAACGTATCGAATATGAAGAAAGCATGATTCCGTCACGCTTGTTCAGGTCGATATATCAAATTAAAAACAATAATAATATATAATTTCAGCCCAATAACTTTCACATCAACTGAAACAAATATTTCACCATCATCCTATACATCTTTTCCACCGTGGCAAATTGGAGTTATTTGTGGAGCATGTGTTCTACTATTATTATTGATTATATTAACGACAATTTGCCTCTATCGAAGGAAATATCATTCAAATTCAATGGCTCTTTCGAAAGAAAATTTATTCAATGAATGCAAATCAGTTAAACAGTAAGTGGTTTCTATCAGTTAGAATTGAGTTATTGAGTCCTATCTCATCCGTCATACAGAGGAATTCCACATGGTCAAGCATTTATGCAAGCCAACACGATTACTGGCAAACGAAATGATACAGCTGTATCTTGGATTACCGATGGTAACGATACTTACGTTACCCTTCGTTCACCGGGACTTTATACGTAAGATGCAAATTGTTGTGTGATGAAATCAATATTCAGAAGAAAATTGTGTATTTTTCTAGTCGTGGTCATGTAGATCATGAAAAAGTATCTGGTTCTGAATTAGAAAAAACAAAGTTACCTAGTCATGTATCTGATAAAACAGCTGATATTAAACCGATAACGCCTCCATATCCATTAAATAAGAATGGACAAGTAATAACACCGCGAACTGTCTCACTTGCATCAATGTCACATTTAAAATCGATCACAAGTATATTGATCAAACATAGTTCTCTATTATTAAATGGTTAAATGTTCTACGTTCTAGATGATTTACAAGAAGATAAATTGAATATGTCAGATAATATATCATTAACTCATTCATTAACTAGGTCTTCTATGACATCGAATAGTCTGTTCGATGTTGAAGACGTTAAAACAAATAATAAATTTCAAATGCTACCGAAACAATCATTTCAAGAAGAATCATTGCATGATGAAGATGCTTGGATGTCCATTTTGGAAGTTGTTAATGCTGAGGTAATTATATTCAATTTTAAATATAATCATTTCATTTCATAGACTATTTTTAAATTTTAGTTGGCAGCCATTAATAAACAGGAAATGGAGTCAGGATATAAATCTTCAACGTAGTCACATCGATTGATTTTAAATCAATAAAATTTTTAACCACCAATCATAGTATTCTTTATTCATTGTTTATTTTTTCCCACTTCATCCACCGTTACTTCCATTGTAATATTTATAGTTCACTTTTCAAAGTATTTTTTGTATTCTAAAATTTCGTGGATTTTTTTATTTTTATGATAGGTAAACCAAAATAAATTAATGAAAGTGTTAAATATTAACATGAAGTATTGCACGATCAGTATGTAGTTTAGAATATTTTTTCTGCAAAACTATCTCAATACACCATCTATTTTTCGTGAAGATTTTTATCCTTCAACTCGAGATGTTAGCAAGAACGGAGCATGATTATATGACTGATACTAGATGTCAAGCATTACATACCATACTATCAGTTTCTTTTCGTTCGCAGACGACTTGTTATCCTATAAGCCGATCTGTTATGCTACCAGAAAACGAAAAATATATGTATAAGCAGAGACTTTTTCTTGTATGAAGTTTGATAAAATTCTGCCGTGTTTTTACCAGATATTTTTTTGTTTTAATATTCAATTCACAAGTTGGTACAACATTGAAGGAAAAGTAATGTTAACGTACTGGAAAGTGAAATTTACAAAGATATTTAAGTTCTTTTAAAGATCATCTATTAAACTTGAAAGTATATGTGAATAAATACGGTGCATCCTGATTTAATTAACTAAAGTGTAATATAGAATTTCCATTAAAGTTAGATTACAGATCTCACGAGTACAATAAACGATTCTTCTTTGCGTTTTTGTTTCATTCCGTTCTTTTACATTTATTAAATAAAATTTAGCTGTAGAAATTTAACCCGTTGCTGCACGATTGATGTTGTTGTATGATCTTTTACTTTTTTACTACTTTTCTTCTCGTTTTTCCACCTTTATTCAACGAAAGATCATAGCTACTTACTCTCTTGCTACCGGAACAAAAAGAAATTTAAATGGAAAAGAAAAAGAACGAACGAACAAAGACAAACTTTGTCGCAGAGCACACATTAAAAAAGAGGTGTCTATGTAGTTTTATTAGCTATCTTCATTGTTCATTGTTTAAAAATATTTATTTATTTCTAAACGTTTTGAGAAACGAGCATGGCAGCCGTAAACGAAGTTGATGATATGATAAAACGAATTCAAGCGTACAAAGGTGTACAAGGTATAATTAGCTATAGTATCATGTTTAAGTATAGTCGAACACTATTATTATTCATCCTCAAAAATGGTTTGTGGAAGTGTAACAGTCCAAGTATAATTTCTCGCTCACGAGGGAACATTCCCAAGTGCCCCGCTCTGATTTCGTTCGTTCATGCATCATTCGATAGGGGGTCTCGAGTAGATAAAAAGTCTAAAAGGATATCGGCTGACGACTCTTTAAGACCCGGTTTTCTGGAAAACCAGTTTTTCAGAAACTCTAACAGAATAACCAAAACCTTTGTTAATGAGACATGATTGTAGCCCGC